TGACTTCATTTGGAGCAGAATTGAGCCTATATTGGTTATTTATTTTCTCTTCTCACCATCCATAGCAGACTATAGCAACCATTGCAGAAGAAAGGATCAGGCCTGTCAAAGGGTATTTTTTCTCCTAGCTCCCTAACATGAATAGGACGTTTGCAAGCACGTCCCCTGAACTGAAACCTTGAATTAAAATAGCCGTCTGTGGTTCCACTCTTGGGTCACTGCAATAATACAAGTGCTCGCCAAATGCACATGTGCTTATTTACTGCTTTTTAAAGAAATCATCGGTAACTGACCGTCACTTACACTTCTGTTTGTGGAAATGCACACAGCTGGCGCTGCTGATACCCACGGTACACAGGCAGCAGAAAAATAACTATCCTGTTGATAGAGTTAACTGAAAAAAGAACATATGGGCCATGTCATAATAGATAACATTATGGCTGGGATGTTTGTTTGTGTCGTGCAATTTGTGTCATTTGATAATCTTACTCGTGGTGGTGTATGGCGAGAGACCTCTAAACAGCCGATTATGTTTGTATTAGAGACACAGAGTCTGGACTCTGGTTTGGTTTTGCTGTGCTCAGTGCAGTACTCGGAGCACAGGCTTTGTATAGGTGGTTTTAAGCTACCTTTTATGTTCCTCCCATCCTGGGGCTGGGACTGTCCCCAGGGTAGATTAGAGTAGCTCCAGGGGGTGTTTTAACAGCCAGGGATCGCCAAGGTGTAAGAATCCCCTGGCCACATCCCCTTCCCTGCAGCCACAAGGCACGGTGGGAGTGGTGTAAATGCTGCGACACTGGCTCTCCACCCTCCAAGGTTTTCCCAGAAGCTCATTTAAGCCAGCTTTGCATCGCTGGAGACTAGCCGTAGATTTGAAGGCCAGAAGAGACCCTTGTGATCCTCCAGTCCAACCGTCTGCATTCCAAAAGCCAGAGAATTTCACCAGTAAACTTCACCATAGTGGGGCCAAGAATCTGACCTGTAAGGCAGAACTGTCCCTCCATTGTGCTTAGTTAATAGCATTGGTCCCCAGGAATTCCACGGATAATAACCAGGCAGTGAAGCGGATCATTGCTTGAATACTGTTGCATGTCTTATGTACCTGGTTAGACATGGCAAGCTGAGGTCAGGATGACAAGCCAAGCCATCATTGCAATGAAGTTCCCAGATGTGCACTGCTGTGACTATCTTAATTCCTATTAGAGAGACAACACTTAATTACTATTGTGAGATAGAAACGATGCAAAAAATCATAGTAACCTGAATTATGCCCTTGCCCGTTTTTGTGGTTAGTGATACCCTGGCATAATGGGACACAGAACTCCGACCAACCAGATAATCAAAATTCAAAGTTGCACACAAGGTTTCTTAATAGTAATTAATAATGCATTTCTCTTTCTATCACACATTTTAATGTAATGAAAAGATTTGCTGCTGATTAAGCGCCAAAGCCTGCTCCCAGTTACACTGGTGTAAAGTCCAAAGTAACTCTGTGGCAATCAGTAAAATTGCTTATTTATGTTGATGTAAATTTGACCCCAGGCAAAATCCCTTAGTTCAAGTCAACGGTTTTGAAGAGCGGAAGTCCAAAGAATTCTTAGCTGGAATTTCAAGAAAATTAATAACCGCGGATGTTATGGACCGATCCCTTCCAATCTTTACGAAAGGAAATTTTGTGTAGGTATTGAGTATATGATTTTTTTCTAATGCAATCTAAGAAAAAGAACAAATGGACCAGAATATCAGCTCATGTAAATCAGTGTAGCTCTGAGGAAGTCAGTGGAGTATTGCTGGTTTACAACAACTGACGATCCGGCCTAGAGTTCCGTAGGTAAAATTGCTCCAGAAACACTTGTTAGAAAAACTGTGTGCTGTTGACTACATTTGTGCACGTACGTGCAGTAACACCTTTCAGCTGACGTCTCAAAACACTTAGCAAACGTTAATGTCTCATAACTTCCCTGTAAGCTAGCCAGGCATTTTCACACCCAAAGAAATTCTAGGTAAAGTTTTACGCAGCCTGCGGCAGCAAGCATCCCAACCCACGTCGACAGACTCAGGTTTGCACAGCTCACATTCGCCCCCTAAAAATAGCTATGTAGACAGCACTTTGAAGTTGCAACTTGGCTTGAGAACCTTAGGGCTTGTCTACACTTGCAGCGCTGCACCAATACGTTGCTCTCTGTAGCACTTAGTGAAAACACAACCTATGCCAATGGGAGAGCTTCTTAATCCACCTCCCCGAGAGGCCATAGCTATGTCAATGGGAGAAGCCCTCCCATAGACATATCGCTATCTACTCTGGGGAAACCCACACTCCTAAGCGACCGAGTTATATCGTCATAAGTTGGTAGTGTAGAACAAGGCTGAGTTCCGCCCTGAACCACAACATCCACACTGCTATTTTTAGGGCACTAGCTTGAACCCCTCTAGCATAAGTCTGTCTGCCCGGGCTGGGAGGCTCACTCTGTTGCAGCGTAGACATGCCCTCTGTGTTACCCTAATTATGGAGGTGCCACTAAACAGCCTTAATCACAGCCATTGCTTGGTGTCACATTACTGATAGGTACTCTCAAACTTAGCTCCAGCTTTATGCAGGTTTTCACAGGGAATATAAATGAATTGCGTTAGAATTGGGAGACTCCCTGCAGGGTAAGGTTCTATTCAGTATCATAGAATCCTAGAAGATTAGGGTTGGAAGAGACCTCAGGAGGTCATCTAGTTCAACCCCCTGCTCAAAGCAGGACCAACACCAACTAAATCATCCCAGCCAGGGCTTTGTCAAGCCGGGCCTTAAAAACCTCTAAGGAAGAAGATTCCACCACCTCCCTAGGTAACCCATTCTAGTGCTTCACCACCCTCCTAGTGAAACAGTGTTTCCTAATATCCTACCTAGATCTCCCCCACTGCAACTTGAGACCATTGCTCCTTGTTCTGTCATCTGCCACCACTGAGAACAGCCGAGCTCCATCCTCTTTGGAACCCCCCTTCAGGTAGTTGAAGGCGGCTATCAAATCCCCCCTCACTCCTCTCTTATGACGAAGGGTGGCAGAATCTGGTTGTGTATTATTGTATTTAAACCATCTTAAGCCCATGTACTGACCGAGATGTATGCACAAATTGCCCAGTGACATCAATGTGAGTTCCAACTTTATATCTAAGAAACTATGCCTCTTATATCCTTTACTTTCCCCTTCTATTAAAACCCCTTCTGATCTTGTAGGCCCTTGGACTGGTGAAAAGACTGACTCTCAGTAGCCTTTCTAGGGTGACCAGACAGCAAGTGTGAAAAATTGGGACAGGGGGTGGGGGATAATAGGAGCCTATATAAGAAAAAGACCCAAAAATCGGGACTGTTCCTATAAAATCGGGACATCTGGTCACCCTAAGCCTTTCCCACTTTCCCTCATGCCTTTGGGTACGCTGCTAACTTCTTGCTCCAAACTTTGAGGTCAGCTGACCTCCCTGGATAGGCTGAGCACGGCAACGCCCACCAGTTAGCAGCCTGGGGCTTGTGTGCCCTGGATGGTTAGGAAAATACATTCCTTCTACTGAAGCTCCTTTCTGAAAAGTTTCCGGGCCCGAGCCTGAAAGAACTCCTACTGAAATCAATGGGAGATCAGCACACGGTGACACGCACCCACGTGAAGAGGTCCAACGTTATGCCTATGCCTTTTAAAGACTTTGCGAGGACTTCAGCAGTGTATAGGATGTGTGCTGCACAAGGGCAGATTTCACCCGGGGACAACTTCTAAGATGGGACTAGATTTGCAAGCTCTGAAACAAACTAGAACTAAAAGGGTGGAAAAAAACTCCATAGTGACAGCCAGTTCCCCTCCAGGTCATGTTCACCTGCATCCATCTCCAGAGTGCAGTGATGCATGGAATATTTGGAGGTAATGCAAATAAAAGCAATGGAATGGTAGGAGAGAAGAGTTGCTTATGATGGTTTTTAGAAGAAGAAAAAGCAAAATGAGGAGCCACTGCTCAGCAGATTGTGGGGTTATATGTGTTTATTACTGCCTCCTTTGAGATACTGTACTCCTGAAATGAATGGAGTAAAATAACTATGGAAAAGGTTTTTTGTTTTCTGTAGAACCAAAATTGTTCAGCGTATGTCAATTACTGACGTGCAAGAAAGCCCCAAAGATTTTCAGAATTTTGTTTTGTCTTGTTGTTACCTAATTACATGCTGAACTGCAAAGGCTTGTTCTTCACTTGTCAAAAGTCAAAAAAAAAATTAATTAAAAGGATCCTGTCAGTGCATTTTCCCCCCAGAGCTTTTAAAAGCATATTCTTTGTCCTTAATCATTTATGGAAAGATTTAAAGTGATACGTTTCCTTTCTCACCTTATGTACTTGTGGGTTTTGCTATTGTTTGGCTTTTCACAAGTGCTATGCAGCCACAACTTACGTTTTGTTACAAAAGAGCAGGGAAAGATGTGTTTGTCTTTGGGTTTGAAAAGAAATGCCATAACTTTAGATGAATTAGAACCATTCTCATTTTCTTTTTAAAAAAAAAGTACAACATATTGTCTGCTACATTGTCCGTTACATTTCACTTTACTGTCTTCTTGAAAAGTAATAATGAAACCCAAAAATATTACTGTAATGAAACAGCTCTAGACCTGTAGGCCCTCTAGTGGAAATGATCATTCATACAAAGGAGTCTAATATAGATCAAATATTGTGCAAATGTTAAACGTGTGCCGTATGGAGAGAAAGACGCATTCCTTTAATATAGTTATTTGCTTGATCATTTCAGTTATATTTTTGCACAATGGAATTTGTAAGCTGGTGCGAAGGAAGTTTCCAACAAATTATTTGTCATGCTTTTCATTAAAGTTTGACCATTTTTTATTTTAACTTCTTTATGATCACTTTAACTTGTGTCACTGGTTTTATAAAAAGAAATGAATGTTGCGTATTGCGCAAAGCTGTTGAACCGTACCTAGTTATGGACACACGTTTTATAGGTGGAAATGTGCTTTCCTTTTAAGGAAGCTTACAAGTCCGATACAAGTTGAGTAAGGATGGCTTCCTCGTTTTCACCATTGACTCTGGAAACCTTGCCAACCGGGAATTACACCATGTGAAGATCAACAGAGAAGGAAAAGAACTCATCATTCAGGTATCAAACCTACCTGCCATGGTTTACTTTCAGGGTCCTATTCACTACCTGTGCCCAACATTAATTAGTACCTTACTCCACAAACAGTCCTGTTGATTTCAATGGACTTACTTAGTAGGCTTCATGACACTATTTGTGCAAATCCCTACTCGCTGGTGGGAGCAAAGAATTCACAATCTGGCACCACCGTGAGCAAGGCTGGCAGAACATAGCTCTTACCAGATTGCATTTTCAAATAATGTTGTTGATTATAATCTGAAATAAGGCATATGATGCAGATCATTAGGCTCATAGCCTTTACGGCCAGAAGGGACCATCATGATCACAGAACCTGGTACACTCTGGGCCATAACCTTTGGCTGAGTTACAGAAGTCCTCAAATCTTGATCTAAAGACTTCAAGTTATAGAGAATCCACCATTTACTCTAGCTGAAAACAGCAAATGACCCATGACCCACAACACAGAGGAATGCAACTCCCTTCCAACCCCCCTGCCCCTCCCGCCCCCAATCCAGGGTCTCTGCCAGTCTTACCTGGGGGGAAAATTCCTTCCCAATCCTAAATATGGCTATCAGTTAGACCCTGAGCAAGTAGGCAAGACCCTGCACAAGGCCTCAGACACCTGGGAAACAATTCAAAGCCTTCCCCATCTGGTGTTCCACTTCTGGCCATTGGAGATATTTGGTAATAACCGGCACAGATGGGCCAAATGCCATTGTCAGCAGCCTCATCATACCATCCCCTCCATAAACTTATCCAGTTCAGCGTATTGCCGAATTTAAACAAAAGAGCCACAGTGAGTGGAGGCATGTGGGAACCTCATTGATTTCAGGTGAATGTGACCCAGAGTTGAATGTGACCCATAATTTGACTACATGAGGAGGAGGAAGGACTGATAGGGTTAGATTGGGTGACTATTACCACTCACATAAACAGTCCCATTGACTTCAGCAGGACTAGCTATGTAAGTGCTTACCTCATCTACTGTGACAACCTTCCATCAGCTGATGAGAGCCCCAAAGTCCTACGCACCACCGCTCTCCAAATACATCAGTCTCACTGTCCCTTTGAGAAGCCATGCTGAGTCCAGGACCCAGTAGGTGGCCTGTTAGGGCTAACAAGTAACCTTGTGCTCTCCTGTTTTTCAAAGGAAGAGCGGGGAGTGAGCGCACAGCAGTGTCTGATGCTCTCATACCCGGGGGAATTCCTGCAGCTTTTAGACAAGCTTCTGCTTAATTGCTAGGGCTGAATGGTATTTTCTGGCAGTCATTAATGAAAAGAGAGGGCAAGGCAGAGACAGGAAAGGAGGAGAGAGGTAAGGAAAAGGCAGTGAGAGAGAGCATCACACTTTTTTTTTCTTTGGTTTCCATTTATTGGCATAAAACTATCCAGGTATTGGCTATGTCCGGGACACTGTAGAATTGTCCCACCTCCGGTCAGACAGCCCCTGCGCTGTTGAGGAGGATGAAAGGCCCAGGGCAGCAGAGCAGTCAACAGGAGCAGAGGGAAACCTTCCCACAGTTGGGACCCTCCTTCCAGACGGTGCTGGGGTTGCCTCTCGCACTGAGGTTACCTCTCCGGGGGAGGGAACTCCAGTTGCTAGGAAAAGACAGGTATTAGTATTGGGAGATTTGATCATTAGAAACGTAGATAGCTGGGTTTGTGATGACCGGGAGAATCGTATGGTGACTTGCCTGCCTGGTGTGAAGGTTGCGGATCTCTCGAGGCATCTAGACAGACTTATGTGTAGTGCTTGGGAGGAGCCGGTGGTCGTGGTACATGTAGGTACCAATGACATAGGGAAGGGTAGGAGAGATGTCCTGGAGGTCAAATTTAGGCTGCTAGGGAACAGACTGAAATCCAGGACCTCTATGGTGGCATTCTCAGAAATGCTCCCAGTTCCACGCGCAGGGCCAGGTAGGCAGGCAGAG